CGGAGCCTACTACTACGTGGAGACCGCCGACGACCATGAGTAGTTAGAGGCTCCCATTTAGGAGGCCTGCGCCTTTTCGATCCAATTATCTTTGTTATGCTAGCCTTGTTAAGTTAGACTTGTTTACTTATGTGTGTACTCAGATGTTGTTGCTTCCGCTGGCTCTTGTGTATTCGAGCTTATGTATTCGAGCCTTCGTGGCCCTGGCTTGTAATATAAAGCTCGCATGACTTTAATTTGTCTTTAAAGGTGTGTTGTGATATCTTTTCGTGAGTCTCTGATCTTGATCATGCGTGTTTGCGTGTATGATTAGCGCATGATTGAGTCAGGGGCGTCACACTCACATGATAATATTCAGATGTCGTCGGCAGCAGGAAGCAACAGTGGGGCGTAAGGCGACGATAGAATGCATCAATCGTAGGGCGGGAGGCGTCCACGTCGGAGGTGCCGACGTCAGTGTCGGGGGCGGGCCTCCTCTGCCAATCAAAAAATCGACCAGCGCAACCTCAGGTCGGCGTGTGGCCTTTGCCGTGGAGAATCAGCGTGGGCGGTGGGTGCAGCGGTGCCGAGGGGCGGGTGCGGCGGGGCTGAGTGGCGGTGGGTGTCTTTGGCGCGGCTGAGTGGCTAGCATGGCGTGCGCCCCTCTAGTGCGGCTGGTGCGCCGGGGCCGAGTGGTTGGTGGCAAAGGCAGATGACGTGCCGGACAATCGGTTATGTTACGATGGTACATGCGGAGAGGGACATGCGGCTCAGAAGGTGATTAGCGTTTTGTTAGTGAGGTCAATTTTGTTAACGGTGATTTTAGACTATTAGATAGTGTGATTAGACGATTGAGATTGTGATTTGGATCTGCCTTGAGATGGTGATTTGGATTTGCCCTTTCATGCTTTTATAGGGGTGATATACACCGAGGAAACCGACCCATTTCTTGCTCGATCTTCGGATTTCTTTTTATCACATAGTAAGACTGGTCGTGGACTCCCGTCAAGTACGGAAGTTGAGGAGAAATATTGGAAGGCAATCTGGGTAATTAAAGCCACAAACAAAATGAACATAGTGCTATGGAGGTTCGCACACGACTGCCTCCCATCCGGACTTCAATTACGCCATCGGAATATCCTCACAAATCCTGCTTGTGTGCATTGTGGGAGAGACGAGAGTATTGAGCATTGTTTGTTGTTCTGTCAGTTTGCTTCCGAGGTATGGAACAAGGTCAAAAAATGGTTCAACATCCACCTATGTCGCAAAAACTTCCACTCAACGAAACAACGGCTATTCGATTTCATTGACAGAGCATCACCGAAGCAGTCCACTGTCTTGGCAATCACTGTATGTCATATTTGGGAAGCAAGGAATGCGGTAAGGAATGGTGAAGGTAATATCCATCCACACCGTGTTGCCTCAAAGATCCATGCTTATGTTGATTTGGTTCTGCTGCATCTCTTTAAGACTGTTGCGGGGCACAGTCGTGAGACACCGTCAATTTCATCGGATAAATGGTCTCAGCTGCCACCCGGGTCAGTCCTTATTAACGTCGACGCAACTATCTTCTCAAACGTGCACAACCTAGGAATTGGCATCCTGATTCGGAACCAAAAAGGCGAATGCTTGATCACCTGCACCGAGCCACTTAAAGGGATGGTACAACCAGAACTTGCTGAAAGCTGGGCGCTCCGTCAAGCTGTGATTCTCGCCCGTGATGAGGGACTGGCCTCTGTCATTTTCGCTTCTGATTACCTCTCCTTAATACAACGAGTGAACTCTTCATCCATAGACATGTTTGAAGTGGGTGTAGTAGTGTCAGATACTAAGCGTTTGGTTGCTTATTTTTCTTAAGTTTCATTCTGCCATGTCAAGCGGTCGTTGAATGTTGCTGCTCACATACTAGCTAGGTCTTGTGAGTTTGCTAGCTCAAAAGTTGTGTATTATTCTACTCCAGAATGTATCAGGCAAACTCTATGTACCTCCGTCCCATAATATAAGAACGTTTTTGATACTAGTGCAGTGCTAAAAATGTTCTTATATTTTGGGACAAAGGGAGTACTAATTAATAAAAGGCAGTATTCTCAAAGAAAAAAAAACTGACCCATTTCTTTCAAAAAAAGAAGAAAAAAGAAACTAACTCATTTCTAGACACAAGCGCACCCTACCCCTATGAGCACCTCCGAAAGACTGAGCCGGCATATCATCTTGAGATTTATGAAGCCACCGTGGACGCCTCGTCGAGACGGGAACATCTCCTTCCACTGAAAGCGCATCGCCGAAAATCCTGAAATAAATCCAGGAATAATGGTAGTATCAGGATTTGAACCCTGGTGGGTTGAGGATACCACTGTCCATCTAACCATCTCAACCAGAGGTAATTCCCAAACTGACCCATTTCTATTGAAATAGAACCGTGGCATTCCATTTCATGAACCACCCTACAGTGGCTGGTCGTGGCTTCTGAATTCGTGGCAAAGACTAGCGGCGGCCCAATCTCTAGGGTTTTTTGTAGCTTCTGTTTCCCTCGTTCCTCTCGCGGAGTCGCCGTCTAGGGTTTCCGCTTCCTCCCCCATCCACTCCCTCACCGCCATGGACTTTGACGAGTACGACTACTTGGAGAAGGCAGTCGAGCCCTCCGTTCCCTCAACCAACGGCGGGGGTGAGAAGGACCGCAGCTCTCGCCGCCGCTCCTCCACCGCCGGCGGTGGCGGTCGAGACCAAGAGGAGCGCGGATCGAAGCGTCCTCGCTCGGGAGAAGACCGAGAGCGGCACCGCAGCGGCCGTGAGCACCGCGACCGGGAAGACGGGAAGGAGAAGGTCGACCGGGAGAAGGTTAGGGAGAAGGACGAGGGCCGCGACCGCGAGAAGGTTAGGGAGAAGGACGAGGGCCGCGACCGCGAGAAGGTTAGGGAGAAGGACGGGGGCCGCAGCCGCGAGAAGGTTAGGGAGAAGGATGAGAGCCGCGACCCTGAGAAGGTTAGGGAGAAGGAAGAGGGCCGAGAGAAAGTCAGGGAGAAGGATGGCAGCCGCGACCGTGAGAAGGTTAGGGAAAAGGAGCGGGAGGGCAGGGATAAGCTAATGGAGAGGGAAAATGGGAGGGAGCGGAGGAGCCGTAGCCGCTCAGAGCGCCGCCGCGGGGAGGAGGAGGAGATGGTGAGGGAGCTCCAGCGGGAGCGTGAACGCAGCGACCGCCACCGTGACTACAGAGACCGTGATTTCAGGTACAAAGTTGTGAATTCCCCTAGAACTATCGCTCTTGGAATGTCGAGGTTAATTTTCTAGGCAGAAATCCTTTGGCTCTGTTTGGAACACAACAAATTTTCTGAGATCACCGTAGGATTTAAATGGTTTCCTGTGAAATTCCTCTGACATACTGTGATTTTTTGTTCCAGACAATGTGCGTATTTTATCCATGTGAGATTTTTTACTCATATTTGCTTGTGTTAGATAAAAGATTATGTGGTGTAATGAGCGGAGATGATTCAATACTCTTGATTTGTCTTTTTCTTCTTCTGCAGAAGCCTAGTAGTTTATGTTCTGCTTGTTTGCTAACTCCGTTATACATACACATGGAACATAGTAACCTTACAGTGCACAAATCTCCAGTGATTCTGTAGCTGCTAAATGTTTCCTGTAGTGTACACTTCTTATCCTCTAGGTCTGTAAGTTTAAATATTGAACACTAATATGGGACTCACAGATACAAAGTGCTAGAGCTTTCTTAAGATGGTTTCAGCAATGAGTCTGACTACAGGTCATGAATTTGTAATATTTTTCTTGTGAAATATTGACAACTTGGAATGAGCTGCTAATGCCTTGGGCTCTCTAAGATAGTTAAATATTTTTCGCATGGGGATTTCTGACTAGTAATGACTATGCCCTCTGGGTTTACAATTTCTATTTGTTGCTACTTGATGTTTGTTACGCTGCTCTCTCTTTTGCTGAAGCTACTTATTTTTGTGTGTGCAGGCGTAAGAAAGATGATGGTACAGAACCAGAAGTTGACCCAGAAAGAGATCAAAGGACTGTATTTGCCTTCCAGGTTAGCCTCACAAGCAAAAATATCATGTTGCTGTTTTCTCATTAAGTTAATGTTGTCAGCATTACTGCAGCTATCGTTGAAGGCAGATGAAAGGGATGTCTATGAGTTCTTCTCAAGAGCAGGGAAGGTGATGCAAATTATCTACACCACATTGCATTCTAATTTGAAAACTTTTCCTTCTCACAGGAGTATGATGCTGTGGATTTCTATTGCTGTGTTTTAGTGAATTCGAACTGTTCGGTTCTCAAGCTGATGAATGAAACTTTATTAATGTTATACTGAACTAGTGACTGACTTTTGGAATATCGATGTTCACATGGTGCAACTGTCCTGGATAAAGATAACTCGTTCTTTAGTAAACACCTCCTATTTCGTGCTTCTGCTTACGTAATGAACCATGTCTTGCAAGCATGTTCACATTGATCCTTTACTTGCAGAGTAAGCTTTCTGGCATAAATTTGGTTTAGTTATCTGACTCTTCTTTCTCTGTGTAGGTTCGTGATGTCCGCCTTATCATGGACCGAAACTCGCGGCGTTCCAAAGGAGTTGGGTTAGTTCCAACACCTGTTTGTTGTGATGTATATTCAAACCCTGAATGGTTTTGCAAGAATATAGCATGGATTTCGAGTCGAACGACTAGTCGCGACTAGTCGTCGACTAGTCGACGAGTCGTTACATGAAGGTTGACTCAACCTGTCGACTCGAATCATTGGATGAGTCGAGCGACTTGATCGACTAGTCCCGACTAGTCTCGACTAGTCGCGGTTTTTGAGTCGAACGACTCGATCAACCTGTGATGGAAGAGGAGTTGGGCGTAGAAAACGGAGCAGAGAAGGATGGGGGAGGCGGAGAGGAAGGGGCGAAGGCAGAGAAGCCATGGAAGAGGAGCTGCAGCAAGGCCATTGCGGCTGTCGATTCGTTCCTGGAGGCTGGAAGGGGAGCAGGTGAGAGAGAGAGAGAAAGAAGAGAGTGGATGGACGGTGAAGATTAGAGAATATAGATGGTTCAGATTGAGCTAGGCAGGCTAGGGTTTCATTGGGCCTTATTGGGCTAATATTGCTTCTGGGCCAATATTGAAGGAATATTGGAGCGTCTGGAAACCTAGATCGAACAGTTCCACTCCCCTCCCCCGACCCAGCTCTCTTCTGCAGCAGCCGCTGCCGCTGGCTGGCTGCTCGTCCCCTTCTCCCCTGGTTGCTGCTGCTCATCCCTTGGTTGCTGCTACTGCAGGTCTGCCCCTCCCATCTCTTGCTGCTGCGGCTCCTCCCTTAGTTGCCGCTGGTCTGCTCCCTACTACTTAACTCACGTCGACTCATCGCATGTCGACTCGTCGACCATGAGTCACGACTAGTCACGACTAGTCTAGAGTCGCCCCCCCTGAGCGACTCGCCGACTCATCGACTCAAAAACCTTGGAATATAGATATCTTGTTCAGAACTATTTCGCCTGCAGATGATTGAACCAACAACATATTTAACTTTTGGTTTCCTACCATATATAGTCAAATTGCGAATGCTTATCAAGCTCCCTGCCAGTAACATGCACAAGTCCAGAAAATAAGTCAGTATGCACGGCACTAGAAAAGGGGAAAATGGAGCTGAGCATATATAATCACCATTCAGTTGGTTGAGATTGATGGTGCTCTGAGATGCAATCATATAGTATATTTTATTGTTTGTTCCTACCATGTTCGCACAAGTTAGGTTTGCTTCCAAACTGATGATACACTGCATATTACTCTCTCTGTCCCATAATATAAGAGCGTTTTTAACACTAGCGCAGTGTCAAAAACGCTCTTATATTATGGGACGGAGGGAGTACATACTAGGACTCTGACAGTACCCTTTGCCTTTTTTTTTGGAAATTAGGGATGCATTATCATAATATATATTTTCTAGGAAATATAGCTGTTTGTATCTGTTTTTGTTGCTTGCCAATTAGAACTTAGATCTTGTCATATAATTTGTTTTCCATCTGTCTCTGGCTGTATGATTACATGAGCATTTTTTTGAAGTTCATATTTGATTTTTCTTTTCCTTGGGGAACATTTTTCATCAGTTTGTCATACTCAACAGGATTGCACACTGAAATATTTGTAGTTTGGTCTACCTGCTGGGATTATCGGCACTTTACAAGTAAGATGGAATATAGATCATTCTGATGCTGTCAGCAATCTAGGGCAGTTTGATTCCAGAGTATTTGACAAAAACTTGGTGCAGGTTCTTAGGATAATACGAGGGCAACCAAGAACCAAGTTCGAAAATTTCCTACTCACAAAAATTGATCAAAATTTCCAAAATACTCTGAAGCTTATGAAAAATTCTAACATATATAGCCCCATTTAAGGTCTACTTTCTATGACAGGTAAAATATCTTTTGTTGAATACTCTGATATCTGTAGTAATGATCTGCCTAAATTGACAGGTACATCGAGTTCTATGATGTCATGTCTGTTCCAATGGCAATTGCTCTAACCGGTCAGCCGCTTCTAGGGCAAGCAGTAATGGTTAAGCCATCAGAGGCCGAAAAGAACTTAGCTCAGTCAAATGCGACATCTGGTGGAGCAGCTTCAGGTGGAGCAAGAAAGCTGTATGTTGGCAACCTTCATTCCAATATTACCGAGGACCAATTGAGACAGGTCAACCACCTAGTCTTCTTGTATTTAGTGCTAATAGTATTATTATTCACTTCCTGTATTTTGTTCATTTAAATAATGTTCTGCAGAGGCAGATAAGAAAAAGGAAGTAGTATCAATAGAATACTAGAATCAGTAAGCAATTCTCGCATCATTTTCCTCTAATCTGTTATATGTACAAAGTGCTTCATCTTAATAAAGTTATTTACTTGATTAATTAGTAGTTAGACTAAATAATAATGTCATGGAAAGTGCCCTAAGGCCCCAATATATTGTAAACGTCTCTGAAATGTTGACATCTAATTTTTTGGAATTGGCTCAGCCCCTTCCCATTTACAAACATAACAGAAATACAACAGTCTGAAGAGGTTGAAGAACGGGAAAAGGAAGAATGAGTTCAATGTACTGACAGGAAATCCACCATCCATGACCGCAGTCGAATCATGCGCCGCGGGGCGAAAATCTGTCTGCACAACACACTAACCTAAGCAGTTCCAACAAAACATAGTTAAGACCATTAGCACACAGGCTTATCAACCACACCAAGCAGCGAACACAGTTTTCGAAAGGAGTTTTAGGCCATTTAAGTTCAAACTCTGTTACGACAGTTCCAAATGGCCCAGCTAACAGCCGCTAATCCAATTGTATAAACCTTCTCATGCCCAGGTAAAAAAGAATAAATCCAAGATTAGTATTGATACATATTGTTAGGGCAAAGATCAGTGTTCAAGAAAGCGTTTTTAAGCGACGCTTAAGTGCAATTAAGCGCTGAGCGATGGCAAAGCGCTTCGCTTTTGCCCTAAGCGGTAGATTAAGCGTTTTTTATTGAAATTTGACCAAAATTTGGCAATTTTTGTACTACTTCTGCTGGTCTGCTTGTGCAATAATGGCAATATGTTATTTATCTTATTACTAGGCTATGTTCAAGAACTATTTCCTTCATATTTTGGCAAAATTCTGTCCACATGATCTCTGTTAGGTTACGTCTATTTGAACTGAACTGCATTTTAGTTGTTATTTTGCTTGCTATGCGAACCTGATATGTATTTGCTATTGTGTGAACTGTATTTCAGATGCTACTTCAATTACCCATGTGCCAAGCTTCCTATTTTCATGTGTATATCATTCAAAATCTGTCAAATTCTAGCCAATTTCAAAAAACGCTCAAGTGCTCATTGCTCTAAGTTGTGGCCTTCCGCTTCGCTTACGCTTTCCGCTTTCTTGAACATTGGCAAAGATTAGTGCCCGAAACAGCACCCACTGATCTCCAGAGCACTCTTGCATGTGGACACAAAAAGAATAAATGCTGGGAAGTCTCCTGTTCTTTGCAGAAAGAACACCTGGGATTGCCAGGCCAGTTTCTGCTACTAATACCATCTGTGGCCAGCAAAGAATGTTGTGATAGCTGCCACAAGAAGATTTGATTTTTGAAGGGAACTTTAGAATTCCAAATCCATCCATAATCACAGCCCGCTAGAGAGCTTTCCAGCCAGACAGATTTCGTGGAGAATTTGCTACTAGATCCCAAAGACCAGTAAATGACATCAGGATTAGTAGATAAATTCAAATTTCTCACAATCCCTCACCTTACTCCACTCTGCTAAAAGCTCAGGAGAGAGCCACCTACTGAAGAAGGGTGCTAACATCAACATTGAAACTTTCCTGCACAGTACAGTCAGGATAGTTGTAAACACCAAACATTTGAGGATACTGTTGACACAAAGGTGTCAAGTTTTCCAACTGATGTGTTCAACTCTGTTATTAATACCCTTAATTGCATATTAGCAGAGGTTTGTATACTTGGACCAATAAGAAGGCTTATATAATTTTACCAATAAGCAGGCTCACCCTACTTTACAGAAGCTGGACAGCAGTGCTATTCACATTCTATAAAGCCCGTTTAACTTTCCTTTCTAACAGGATATAATTTCCAATTTTTTATTTTTTCACACCACACAAAAAGACTACCAGATGGAATCCATTCCCAGGAAAAACTATCATTAAAATCAACTTTCCTGAAATAACTGGCTAGGAAAATTTTATTCATAGTTTCTTTCAAACATAAGAAATCAAGGGAATGATCACCAATGAGACCAGAGAGGCAGGGAGTCATTCCCTTCTTGCCTGCCCCACTATAATTCCAAAATAGCCCCATCATTTTTTATTAGGATGTGTTTTCTGTTGCCTGGTATTTCTGCCAGGAGGATGGGCAGCATTAACCAGCATATCCTGTTGCATAGCAATGTATTTCTGATTTCTAGTCAAAGGTCCAGAAATCACAAAATTACTTTTGTTTCTTTTCCTTCCAGATTTCACGACAGTAAAATTATCCTCATCTACAATCTTATCAGATCCCCAACTCATATCTACATGAGTTTCCTTCCCTTACCATTTATAATAAACATCCCATTCCTATTTTATCCACAGAATCCATGCCAATACGCAAGTAGCATTAGCCCTAGTTTCCCCCCCAATTCTCTAAGCACATCCACACAGGCAATACAATGTTGACATCTAGACCACTGCTTGGGCTTGAAGCACCGTGCAGGGCTACCACGGAGCCGGTGCGCCTAAAAGTACTCTTCATCTTGAACAAAGCAATTTCTGTTAGACACGCTGATCGTCTGAAATAAACTAAAGAAAAATGATGGTCTAACCCATTGTTACTCACTTGAAGTGTGATTTATTTCAAGGTGTTAAAGAAAGAGTTGGACCTGCTGTGGAATCGTTCTTTAATCTCTACTCACTGCCACCATATCATATACCTGTAGAATTTCTGTCGTGGTTCCTTGCAGAATAGTTCTCCAAATCCACTTTCTGAATTATGTTTTAATTAAGTGCAATATAAATTTTGTATGATGAGATATAACCAAGACTTTTCACGTAGCCTGTTATAACGAGTTTGCTTTTTCAGGTCTTTGAACCATTTGGGCAAGTGGAGCTTGTCCAGCTGCCTGTAGATCCACTCACTGGGCTATGCAAAGGTTTTGGTTTCATTCAGGTAAGTAGCGATATGTTGACATATTCTCATGCAGCTCTTCTCTTGGATATATATATTCCCATTAAGCTGCTGCCAGGACTCATAATTTCTCATTGATACTTGCATCATGCAGTTTGCACGGCTTGAAGATGCAAAAGCTGCTCAGAGTTTAAATGGCCAACTTGATATTGCTGGGAGAGTAATAAAGGTAACTTATTGATATGTGTTGTGTTGCTACCGAAAGAGTTTTAAGACATACTCAGCTGACAATTTGTATTATTTCAACCAGGTCTCAGCTGTTACTGATCAGGGTGGTGTGCAACTTGGCACAACTACTGGAGATTTAGATGATGATGAAGGTGGAGGCTTGGTGGGTTTCTTGTTTCCACACTGCAAACTTTATTCCTGCGGGCTTTCGTGTCTTTTCTTGTTTTCTTTTCTGTTCGTACTTCCCCAAAAGGCAGGGTTATATATGGGACTTGTATGATGGATTGATGGGGCTTCTCTTGTCTCTGTCTTGTTTTTTCCTTCCCCAATAGGTAGTGTCATATAGGAAACTCGTTATTTTTGCAGATGGTTTCAACCTTGCAGAGAATATTCTTCTGAGTCATTTGTACGAAGGGACATATGGTACATATTTGTGCCTTGGTCACTTAACTTGCTCATTCTCCAGTGGCCACTTGGTTCATGTGGGGAGGTTGAGAGACTTTGTGTAGCCAAATTCGTTTGTAGGTAGCCCCTTCAGTGAATATAGTCACTTCACATGCTTATTCTCTTGTCCACTAAGCCTACAACTCAAAATTCAGGTGGGGAGGTTGAGAGGCTTTGTGTTATTCGTTAGTAGGCAGCCCCTTCAGTGAATATAATAAAATATTTTGAGATACTGATGTCACTTTTTTTGTCATACCACTGCCACGAACAAATGCAACCTTGCTAAGCATTATGTTGGGTAGCAAGTCCGATCTATTAGTACTCTGTCCATTTTTGTATACAAGGCCACATCATTTTTCTTGTGAAACTTTGACTTTACAATTTTAGTCAACAAAATATGAAAAATATGTCATAAATATATCATCGGAAAGTTCTTTGAAATGGGCATCCTGTGAAATACTTTTTATGAACTCACTTTTTGTTGGTAAAATTAATGGTCAAAGTTAGACATAAAAATATGAAGTGGCCTTGAAAATGGTGAGGGTGTCCCTTCCCAGTTCTCTACTTTAACCTGTAGTTTTTTTTGAAACCTTCTTTTCTTATAATACTGGGGTGAAGCATCTTCTGATTTTCTTGATTTGGTCTATTTCTTAAATTGTATTGCCTCTGTTTTTGCTGTATCCTTGGCTATAAATGCTGCTTAGTGGCACTGATATCTGGGTCTACTATTATGCTCTTATCACCTATTCTGCTCTTATCACCTATTATGCTTTCCTGTCAAAGATTATTTGTATTCATTGTGTACTCAACTTATGCAGGCATTAAATGCAAGCTCTAGAGCCCTTCTGATGCGGAAATTGGACCGCAGTGGCACTGCAACCAGGTACTGCTATTGTGTTAGTTTTTGCTCTGCGCTTCTATGAATGTGGTGGCAGATAATGCAGACAGCTATTATATGTATACATATATACATATATATGTATACATATACACACACACACACACACACACACACACACACACACACATATATATATATATATATATATATATATTGGTTGAAACATACATCTGAGCTTTATGTAAAGATATTAATCTCAACAAAGTCAATTTTTTCCCTATCTGAGATGGTCCTTTTGCTGGCTGTAGCTGTTGTCCCACATGATAATGAACCCTGAATAGCATGTCAGGGGAACGATTGTTTGTGCACCAAATGTTATTTAACTTGTAGCATTTGATTGTTAGTTTATGCCACTATGTTTTTTCCTATGTACGGTTTATAGGATCTTGCACGTCATGTCCTTTAATCTTATTTTTGTGTGTGCAGCTTAACTGGTGGCATTGGTGCTCCTGGATTGAACACTTCTGTTGGATTTCCTGCTGCTGCATCAGTGCTTGGTGCTCCTCTGACAGCTGCTTCTCTTCTTGTACAGCCTGTTGGAGCAATTCCAGGGGCACCTCTTCCTATCATCTCTCAATCTGCTGATATTGGTACACCTACTGAATTCCTATTGCTGAAGAACATGTTTGACCCAGCAGTGGAGGTATCTCATCCTTTCATATATTTTTTGTTCATCTCTATTTGTCTATTTTATAGGTGCTTGCCCGTCTTTGTTCAGCTGGTTAAAATTATTATTAGTATTCTTTGTGCCAATTGTTATTTTCTTTCACCTGTATTATTACTTCCTGTTTACATTTGAGTTTCTGACTAACCTGATTGAAAATCTTCTTTTCCTTTGCAGACGGATCCTGATTTTGATTTGGATATTAGAGATGATGTGCAAGACGAATGTTCGAAGTTTGGTGTAGTGAAGCATATTTTTGTTGACAAGTAAGTCGTTTGTTTTTTAAACCCTGATGGTATGCCCTTTTATTTCAACTTTGTATCCACACATGTTATCAATGGTTGTTATAAGCAAGGATAACAAAGTTGGCAGTAACTGACTTGGTATGGACTTGTAAAATGTATTGGTTTTTAATGAGCTGGTTCATACTGAATACTACTATATATTAAGCAAAGACAAAATAGCTACCAGAAAGAATGTTTCACACATACTAGTAGTGCTGTCCTGACTTGCATCCACTTTTAACATCCCCTCACTGTTTGGTACAGGCATACCGCGGGCTTTGTGTACCTGCATTTTGATAGCGCAACAGCAGCAGCAAGTGCGCAACGATCACTTCATGGCCGATGGTTTGCTGGAAAGATGATTACGGCAACCTTTATGGTAACAAATCTTTTCTTCTACTCCCTCTGTTCACTTTTATAAGATGTTTTGGAAATTTCAACATGGACTACATACGGACTGAAATGAGTGAATAAACACACCAAAACACATCTATGTACATCCGATTCAGAAAAAAGTTCGAACATCTTATATCCGTGAACGGAGGGTGTATTTGTGTACTATGCTCATGTCTCTCATTTGGGTTAAAATGTTGTTTTCTTTTCCAGACAGCACAACAGTATGAAATGAAGTTCCCAGACCGCGCAGCTATGGAATGAAATTCACAAAGCAGACAAGTTATATCTGGTGATGGACCTAGGGCTGTTAAACGGTTCCAATTGAAGTTGTGAAGTCTTGAGTGTAGTAATCCTGTTAGTTATTGTTTCTTGTAACATTATGAAGACTAGAGGCCTGTTTGGGCAGTTGCATCTTTTGTGATAATTGGAGATTTCTTCTTTTTCTTTGTAGCAGTATACGAGAATGATGGATTTTTTTCTATGCCATATAAAAAAGGTTGAGAGATGTATAACATGGTTAAAGCATTTGAGCATTCCTTTTATGTTCTATGATAACTCAGATAATTTGGGGACCCCAAACCGATGAAAAAAACTAGACCCTCCTCAATCTACTTCTCCATGGCCTATTAAAAGTAGAAGGTGTTATCCTTACGGAGAGAAAAAGGTTGCAGTCATGTTTAGATTACTTCGTCTGTCTGAACTAAGGAATACGATAAGCCCGTGTACGGCCCTGTTGTATGGTGCATGCAGCCCACCTCGACGTCGGTTCCTTGTTTTTTTTTTGTGCTGAAAATGTCATATTGTAGTCGATTGGCATAATTTTCGGAGGGAAAACGTTTAGGTTGGAAACAGTGAAATGTAAGCCCTGTCCAGCGAGGGACTTGCGTCCATGGTCCCATACGCCGCTTAGCATGCGCCTTACCCCCTACGGCCCTACCCCACGCAGGAAGTCACGACCACACATTTTCCCTGCCGCATCGTCGTCTGCTCCTTCCTCTAGATCAGGCCAACATCAGCCACCGCTGTCATAAACTTTGCTCCCCCTTGGTTGTTGCTCCTGCCCGCTGCTGCAGAGCAAAAAGGGAATGACCCGCCGACAAACTAGCTAAGATAACCATCACATGTACACAAATCCTATATATCTAAGAAGTTTACTCTACTACTTGTTTTATCTAGACATGCAGCCTATCTACCTCAGCAGCCTTACCACATCAGTAACTCTATTTTTTGTCCAGCTAATGCCATGTATTGCATTTAGTTACACAAGTGGGATTTAATTTTCATTTGTACGCAACCAGCCTTGGTCACTGAAGCGACCTGCTGTTTCCTCTTCGTAACAGAAGCCCACTGGAACAGAACAACCCACATTAAAGACAATATAACCGCACTTAAACCGAGCCCTCTCAGCGATTTGCGTTCTTGACCATCCGTTTTTGCGATCTGGTTGTTTCTGTCCGTTGGATGCACATGGAACACTACTTTAGGGCAACGTTGCCGTAACCTGGGCCTGCTGTCCTGGGGCAGCTACCCTGGTGGCCTTAATGCTTGCACCCAACTTGGCAAGGGCTTGTTAATCCCTCGTCTTGCTAGTTGCAGGGTTAAAAGAAAATAGTGATATATAATGATATGGCATAATAGTAAAAATAAATAAAAGAGCAATTGAGCAACACAAGTATTAGTAGAGAATGGACCCGGGGGCCGTAAGTTCATTCTCTCGAAAGCACGTAGTGGTATGGTAAATAAATTAATGTTGAACAATTGACAAATAAGCATCCTTCATCCCTCGCAAAAAAGCATCATTCATAACTATGATAATTCATGGCATAATCTTGTATAGGCTTCATGTCCGTGACAATTAGACCGTAGTCCAACTGCATCTACTACTGTTGGTCATCCTAGGATTAATATCGATCTAATGTGCCTGAATCAGGGTGACATGGGAGTGACACTGAGTTAATTGTTGGTCATCCTAGGGTTTACCGGTCTTGCTATGCATGTGGCGAGGTAGGGCACTTCGCCCAATTCGGCCCGAAACCCAGGCTCACTAGGCTCTAGCCTTTTATTCCTTCCGCTTCATTCCCTAGCCCACAGAGTGTGCTTGCGCTCCAGGCGAGGTGGAGAGCTGGTTTCAGCCGAGTGGGCCGGCCCAATGGACTCGATAGGTTTCCTCTTTTAAGGAGTTAGTCATGTTTTTTTTTCAAATTTCTAGCCGAGACCATAGCACGACTCCTTGCATTCCTATGCTCTTACCAACTTTGCTCTTTCCTCGTCGAGCTCGTCGCCATCAGATTATGCAAAACTCTCTGCGACCAAAGAGCTTCAATCAACTGCTACGTTGGCAATGGCCAACTTTCCGATTGATCTACTGCCCTTTGTCTCGTATGGTTTTCAGATTAAACATATCGAATGGCGGACAGGGGTTTCCAGGGTCGTGCTACCGCGTCGCCCCTAGCGGCATGAAGACTGGGCCATCGCCACCATCCATCCACTCCCATACGAGGCACACTTTCCCAATGTGCGTGATGTTCCTGAGGACTTCTTACATCATGACCCGGCAGCTCAAGTGGGATTTCGAGAAATACAGCCGTGTCTGTTGGGGGAGGCTTTTGTCTAGTTCACACATGCTAGAGATAGAGACAGGTTGATCAGAGAGAGTCCACATGCATTTGGGGATGTTTTTATTTCTTTCACCAAGCATAATGAAGGGAAAAACTGGAAGAGGGTTCATTTCAATAGGCTTTGCTGGCTTCTGATTGTTGGAGTTCCCTTTGGCCACTGTAACATAGAGGATATTGCAGGTGCTATTGCTAGATTTGGCAGAATCATCAACTGGGAAAAGGAGGATGCCAGAGTTATTGAACTCGTTGATATGCCCACATAAGATGGTATGAATGGGAAAACTTTCGAGGAAGACTCTTTGACTAGCTCAGTGGAAATTCTTTTGGAGGAGATGCTGGGAGGTGGGCCACGTGATGAAGTGCAACCCACCAAATAAAGTTTTAAACACTAAACTAAAGTATTACAACATATTTTTTTGTAGTATAAGAATTATTGTGCACATTACAAAAAGAGAAGGTGTACATTTTGATAATTGCAACTAGTCTAAATTCAAAGCTCAATAGACTAGTTTTTTAACTACAATTAAAAGAAGAAAGAAGGTATAGTTCCCCATTACAAATGCAATGGTTACAAATTTTTTCAAAGTGCAATTAAAGTAGATTAAAAGAACGACCGTAGAGAAAAGGGTTGATAAATCAATAAATAATTATAGATGTATTATTTTTTACTAGAATCACAAAAAAGTAGTCAATTCACCTAGTCCATAAGTTGACTAAATATGCACAAGAAAAAATATATTGTGTAATTAGGTGAGGGCTATATGTTTAATAGACTTGTTCTTTTTTTGCGAGGTAATATAGACTTGCTCTCTCATATTCCCTCCGTTCCAGAATATAAGGTGTATTGATTTTCGTGCAAGTCAACCATTTGAAAATTTGACCAAGATTATAGAATAAAATAACAATATTTGCAATACCTAATAGATAAAACATGAAACTACTCTTCATGATGAATCAAATGATATAAATTTTGTATTGTGGATATTGATATATTTTCTAAAAACTTGGTCAAACTTGCACTCGTTTGATTTAAAAAATAAATAAATACATCTTATATAAAGGAACGGAGGGTACAAAGTGTAGGACAATGCTTGTCACATTCACCTAGTCCATAAGTTGATTAGACCGAAAGCTAAGGAACCAAGAGAGTGTATAATCCATGATCATAAGACTGTTTTGCTATTTTGAGTCGACTAAGAAATAACTATCCAAGGTGATTGAGAATAACTATTTGTGAGTCACCGATGGGATCCGTTTTATCAGGTCTCAGGATTTGTGCAAGCGAGAAAGTGATGAGAAAATCTATTTCTAAGTGGATATAGTCACTTTCTAATTAACCACTAATGAATTTTAAAAACTACTAGTAACAAATTGAAATATTCATACAGATCTGAGAGATTGTTTAGTCTGTTAAAGACCAAGGGCCTATAGTCTTTTTTAGGGGAAAACACGCCTTTTATTGACCTAAGCGGCCTCGGCCGCGATAATGTCACAAATACAAAGCGGGCAAATAGAAAACCAAGTCTTACACAACTTATTCAGGCGGCCGTCCCTAGCTAGAGTATGCGCCGCCCGATTCGCGGTACGTCTAGCCCATGTCACCCTAAAATTATCCATGATGGAGAGGCGCTTTAGCCCATTCGCGGTACGTCTAGCCCTTGTGATATTGACCGAACCTCGATGGCGAGATCCGATCCGTTATTGCGGCCCGACCTTTCACGATACTCCACCACCAGCAGTAGTAACCTCTCGCACGTGCACGCGATGTACACGAAGTAGAGGGTTTGAACCTTACGGCTCAGCACGAGAAAACCAATCTCGACGATGATACTTACGCACAAAACAATTTCCACGAAGAGAAATCGAAACACAGATGTTTTCTAAAGCTTCCTCCAAAACTTAGGGATTTTTAGACAGCTTCCACCAAAACTCGATACGGGCATTTACCATAAAAACACATTGTGTCTATCATAAAAATATAAACTCCCTTTTACAAAAGACTTAATTGACTTTATATAATAATCACACATCCTAACTAGCTTGGAAAGCAAGCACATGGTACGTAATTAAAAAGAAGATAACACCTAGGACTTAGCTAAACCGACTTGATCTAGTATTTAGGGAAACAAAAACAACTAGTAGTATTTTCTTTTGTGCACGCATAGCTGGCTTCAGTTTTGGTGCTGGTGGACCCCATCCAATTTCCTTCAAGCATAGTAGACTCCAAATATCCCACGCCCTTGTACTTGCCTGATATTCCTTGCGTGGCCTTAATAAAAATAGAAACTTAATCTGCACCTTCTGCTCTTTAAACCAAAACAGACTCCGCATATCAAGTTGCCTCTGGTAATAAACAGTCGTGGCAAGGAAACGCAGAAGACCAGCCTCCTTGACGCCTCCTCCTAAACATGGTTTACCATAAGGATTAAAATATCCTTTTGTTTGGTTTCCTGTTGATGCATGCACGTCCAAACCAGAAGAAGCTAATATCTCAAACTGAACAAGTCTCTCTTCTTTGCCTATGCACATCATGTGCAACACATCAGCATGCATGCACTTAGTATTTTCTAGTGGCTTCTCATCATTGTAACTTAGCTGCTCCGACGTATATACAATGTATTTTTGCACATCATTGGCTTTAGG